GGTAAAAAATTAATTAATTTGGGTACAGTGTTGCATGACCGCGCAATTGTCATTCAAAGCGTGATAGCGCTGAAAGCTGAAAATTGCCCTGGTCAGGAAGGGGGTAAAAGTGTCCGGTCTTGAAGGGGGTGAAAGTGTCCGGTCTTGAAGTGGTTAAAACAGAATAACATAAAAAATAGTGCAGCGCTGAGAGCAGTGATCATAAAACAGATATGAGTCCACTGTAAGTCCAGGTCATAAAAACGTGTCAGGTGACAAGTAGGGATTCAATGTTGGTGATCCGTGAGGAAGCGGCTGAAAAACGCACTCACCAGAAAGAAGTCCCATAAACGCAGTATGCATCCAGAGCTCATGGATCCTCAATCCAGAAGAGAATAAAGCTGGTCCGGTTGCAGGAAAATGGGTCCCTCCTCTGTGGATGCAGCAACAGATCCTCCTCTTTCCAGTTAGGTGTAGGATTCCAAAGTCAGGGTTCTGCAAGCAAAGTGCTCCTCTGTGCAGTATGCTGGAATATTGATTACAGATGAAGTATTATTCCGTAAATGCGATTTATCGATCTGGCCCCTTACTATGTGCTCTGCTGGGAGCTTCACTGGGATGCCTGACAAGTCCCTGTAGCCAGCCAGGCAGGGGGCGGGAACTGGAGGAGAGACGCGCGCCGCAGAAGTGGAGCAAACGTGGCTTCATCAATTGCTAAAGAAACCCCTTGCAACCATTCACTGCTGCTTAGCGGGAATTCGGTGCTTCTGATTGGTGGGCTGAAAAGCTAGGTCTGCCCTTTATTGAAGAATCTTCAGGAAATTTATTGGTTAACGGCGCCTGAGTTATGTTATGAAGAAATATGTTTTTTTATATTGGATATGTTTTATAGCAGAAAGTAAAAAATATAGTTTTTTTTTTATTTTTGGTCTTTTTTTGTTTATATAATAAGAAATAAAAAAAACCCCAGCGGTGATCAAATACCTCCAAAAGAAAGCTCTATTTGCATGAAAAAAATTATATAAATTTAATTTGGGTACGGCGTTGCATGAGCGCTCAATTACCAGTTAAAGTAGCACAGTGCTGAATAAGAAAAAAAAACAGCCTGGTTATGAAGAGGGTAAAATCTTCTGGAGCTGAAGTGGATAGTGACACTGTACTACTCTGGGGGTGATTAGGGGTTTTTATGTTTTACACTTTACTGTTACATAGATGATCATGGTAACAGTAATGTTTTTAACTGTCATGAATGGGTTTCATTTATAACAGCTGAGATTACTATTGTGTCCTGTGGGCTCACAGCTCTCACATAGTAGAGAGTGCTGAGATTGGCCCACATACCTTGTGACAGCTGTGGGCCAATCACAGAATCACAATACTAAGCATAGCTGTTATGAATGAAACCCATTCATAACAGTTGTGTTTGGTCATTTTATAGCACAACGATCACGTGATACCCCGGCCACTCAAAGCTCCAGTGGACACAGAGGTTGCCGGAGCGGTGCACTGTATGCCCACCAACCAGCGATGTACATGGCCGTGACTGTGCCTGGTTGCGCCGCTTGCCCACCGTAAAATTACTATGGGCAGGATGGCAAGTGGTTAAACTGATAGCTGTCATCCTCAAATATCCGTAAACGTATGGTCTTGGGGCCAAAACATTACAGCCTAATGTGAATGATGCGTCACATCATCACTTTACCATTCAATAAACAGTGGTTTCCAGTCTATCCCTAAGACTCCAAATGACAAATTATTTCTGACTCCTTGAAAATGAAAAAAAGGAAACATTTTAAAGAAGAACCATCTCTTCAATTTTTTTTAAAGTACATGTAGTACCATGTTCCTATGTGATTTGTAAAGCTAGCTAGGACATCGGACAGGGCACCCGCCTACTTTGTGACCATCTGTCAACGTAGCTAGCAAGGAGGAGGCTTGAACACTGCTGCTTGCCTTGGCTACAAGCTCTTGCCAGAGACAAGCAGTGGCAAGAAGAATGCAAAGGGAGGGTGTGTCAGCCTTCCGTCCCTCTGCACTCCTCTTGCCGCAAGTGCCTGAACCTGAGACAAGCACAAGTTTTCAAGTTGCTGTCCCTTTCTTGCAAAATTTTCAGACAGCTGTAGAGGGGGTGGGGGGCACACTGTTCGACCTTGTAGGCTTTCAAAGCACATAGGAACATTAGACAAAGTACCACATGTACATAGCCCCATGGGAGACAGAGCACAAAAAAAAATTGAAGTGAGAGTTGGTAACATCAATCTGAAATGCAAAAATCTGTCTTTTCAATGGAGTGATCTATCTTATTTTGGCATCTTTTTATCTTAACCGCCCAGCCACTGTACATATACGGCGGCAGGGCGGCACTCACAGGCAAAACCACGTTTTAAGACGTGTGTTTTGTAAACAAATAAGGGGCGCGCGCGAGGCGCGCCGCCGCCCTATTTGTCCCACCGATCACCGCCGCAGATGTCAGTCACCAGGTCACAGCCGCAGATGTCAGTCACCAGGTCACAGCCGCTCCTTAGCGGCTATGTCCCGGCGATCAGCGGCAAACAGTGACAGAGAGCACAGCTGCTGTAGCTGTGCTGTCTGTCACTTCCTTCTCAGCTCGAGGACGAGCTGATCGAGAAAGAACAGTTTCTCTTTCTCGATCAGCCTTTTCCCGCCCAGTACACACCCCGCCCCCTAGTAAAACACTCCCGTCACTACTATAACCCTTCCCTGAAAAATAAAGTTAACCCCTTCCTCCCCAGTGCCATTAGTACAGTGTCAGTTTTTTTTTTTGCACTGATCACTGTATTAGTGTTTTTGGGGATGTCAGTGACCCCAGGTCAGTACCCCCCAATGTCAAAATGTCCGCCGCAGTCCCACAGTCCCGCCATAAGTCACTGGTCGCTGCCATAAGTCCCTGATCGCCGCCATAATTCGCTGATCGCCGCCATTATTAGTATAAAAAAAACCCCTAAAAATCCCAGTATCTTTCCCGCCATTTGTAAACGCTATAACTTTCACGTAAACCAATTAATTTACACGTATTGGGTTTTTTTATAGCAAAGACACGGAGCAGAATGTATTTTGGCAGAAAGTTATGACTAAATTTGATTTTTGAATTTTTTTTTACTGGACATGTTTTATAGCAAAAAGTCCAAAAATATTGTTTTTTTTTCCCTCAAAATTGTCAGCCTTTTTTTATAGAGCAAAAAATAAAAACCGCACAGGCGATCAAATACCACCGAAAGAAAGCTCAATTTGTGGGAAAAAAAGGATGTAAATTTCATTTATGTACCATATTGCATGACCGCGCAATTGTCCGTTAAACTAGCACAGCGCTGTATAGCAGAAAAATGGTGTAAATTGCAGTATTTATTACCATAGTTTGTAGACGCTATAACTTCCACAAAAAGCAATCAATATACACTTATTGGGATTTTTTTTACCAAAAACATGGAGCAGAATACATTTTGGCCTAAATTTATAACCAACTTTGAGTTTACTATATATTTTTTATAGCTGAAAGTAAAAAATATTGTTTTTCTTCAAAATGTTTGGCCTTTTTTTGTTTATAGCGTGAAAAATAAAAAGCGCACAGGTGATCAAATACCACCGAAAGAAAGCTCTATTTGTGTGAAAAAAAGGATGCAAATTTCGTTTGGGTGCAGCATTGCATGACCGCGCAATTATCAGTTGAATTTAGTGCAGCGCCGAGTAGCAAAAAGAGGGGTGGTCATTAAGGGGGGTAAATCCTCAGGAGCTCAAGTGGTTAAAGTGAACAGCACCTGCCCTTTAAAGTTTGTGATAAACTTTCTTTAAATCACTGCACAAGGTGGCAATATTTTTTCATAAGAAGTAAAAAAGGACAAAAAAGGAAAGAAAAAAAAAAAAAACAAAATTCCCAGATATTAGGAACAGTAGAAAAAGTTAATGTGATATTTTATCTTCAGAGCTCCTTCATCTGCATTCGCATATTTCCATTCAGTGCTTGCATTTTTCAATCTCCTGTCAAAATTGAACTGCCGTCTGAATAAGAGTGAATTTGCGGGCGTTAATGCGCTGCTATGTAACCCGGCGTGATAACACAAAAAGCCTCTGACAAGCCAACAGTGAATGTTCATTTAGTTCTGGATAATCCAAGGAAAATATCACGTGATTAGCACAAAAGCAGCTTTTCCTAAACCAGCCTTGCTAACTTCTCTCGGCTCGCATAAGACAGTTTACTTAGCTGCTTTTAATTTTTCAACAGGGCTGAGAACCGTTTTCCCAAAAATTGCCATCCTTTTTTTGTGTTTTAATATCCGATCAAAGTAAATAATAAAAAAAAACAATTCTGCCTGAAATGTTTGCATTGAAAAGCAAAAGAAAAGCAGTTTAGCCTTTTGTAGCGTGAAACATCAAGGCGCCGTTTGAACACCATGACACATACCTCCTCTAGGGGAGAGACCAATGTATGGCACATTACTACACGCACTTCAGTGCGACATGTTACGCACACGCTTAATGCATTGTTATCTCAGAGTGGCGGCAATGGCTCAAGGGAAGACATGTAAAAGGCCTCCATATAATGGAGAGGCGTGTTTGTTTTTGACACTTATCACTCAGAAGTGGCTATTATTCACTCCCGTAATTACAAGGGGGGGTGGATTATTTCATAAAGCGTTGAGTCTGACTAATATGCCATGCACACAGAACTATTCAACATGCTGCTTTGTCCGGCATAAAAAAAAAAAAAGATACATCCATGGCATAAACAGGCTATGAGTCACTTATAATAAATCATTTTATGGGGAAAAGAGGGGGGGGGGGTTAAAAACATTTGAAAGGGGAAAGTTGCAATAAAACAAAAATGAGAAAAGAAACAGATAAATACAGCTGTGCTCAAACATTTTCTTCCCCGTGGAGAATTATTAAAGCGGAGCTCCACTCAAAAGGGGAAGTTCCGCCTTAAAGACTGGTCCCCCGCTCCCCATTAAGGATTAGCACCTTTGGGGGGCGGGGGGGGGGGAGCGGGTACCTGAATTTGACAGGTACCCACTCCCACTTCCGCTCCAATCGCCTAGGCGATCGGAAGTGGAAGGTGTTCTCTCTTCCTCCCTCCCCGTAGTCTTCTGGGACACATGACAGGTCCCAGAAGACTACAGGACCATTCAGGAAGCGCAGCGATACTCGCGCATGCGCAGTGGGTACCCTACTGTGAAGCCGCAAGCTGTCATAGCCGGGTGCCCACACTGAAGATGCCAGCACCCATGGAGAGAAGACGGCCGGTAAAACGAGCTGCAGTGGACACACCGAGGGACCGAGGGACAGGTAAGTGGCTGTTTTTTAAAAGTCAGCAGCTGCAGTTTTTGTAGCTGCTGAGTTTTATTTTTTGACAGTTTGAGTGGAACTCCGCTTTAATATACAATATGGACCATTTTTAAAGAAAAAACGAGTGAGCAGGCAAAACACAATTATTATATTTCTTAGAGGGATTCTGTAGGTCATAACAGAATGGCCCAATCATAAAACAAGATAAGGCAACAAGTCAACAAATGAAACAAAAGTCTGCATCCCCTTAGTTCTCAATACTGTGTATTGCCCCCTTTAGCATCAATGATAGCGTGCAGTCTATTGTAATAGTGTGGTAGCACCCAGATATGGTAGAGTTCCCCTTTAAACTCTAACACTTCTAGCAGCCTGTGTTTGTAAAAGCAAGGTTTTTGGCTCATCTTTTCCCCTCCCTTATTTCCTGTGAATAATGTGTACTGGTTCATAGCTGGTATTCTTCTCTGCAGCTGCTGTCCAAGGTTATTATTATTATTATTATACAGTATTTATAAAGCGCCAATAGTTCGCTCAGCGCTGTACATTACAAAGGGGGACAGAACATGTGACAGAACAATACCAATACAATGCAAAACATGAGGGGATCGAGGGCCCTGCTCTTTCGAGCTTACAATCTAGGAGGGAGGGGATGGTGCACAGGAGGAGATAGCTGTGGGGGATGGAGTGGTAGGAAGAGTGGAGGAGGTTGGCAAGTTAGCAGAGGGTGGGGTAGGCTTCCCTGAAGAGATGGGTTTTCAGGATGCGCCTAAAGGAGAGGAGAGTAGGTGATAATCTGATGGGTTGGGGCAGGGAGTTCCAGAGGATGGGTGACACCCTGGAGAAGTCCTGGGGGCGGGCATGAGAGGAGGAGACCAGGGAACTAGAGAGAAGGAGGTCTTGTGAGGAGCGGAGTGTGTGTGCTGGGTGGTACTTGGATATTAGGTCAGTGATGTAGTTCGGGGCAGTATGGTGGACAGCTTTGTACGTCAGTGTTAGGATTTTAATTTGATCCGTTGTGCAATCGGAAGCCAGTGGAGGGATTGGCAGAGGGGGGTGGCGAATTTGATCCGTTGCGCAATCGGAAGCCAGTGGAGGGATTGGCAGAGGGGGGTGGCGGAGACGGAGCGGTTATTCTGTAGAGTTTAGGAAGCCTATTGAAAGTATAGAAAGTGAAAGAAGAAATGTATGCCTTGTGATGTAATCATTTGTATATATGCTTGTAAGATGTTTTCTATAACTCACTTAGCAGATGAGAGCATGAGCCATCTGTTCACTTAAAACAGTGCTGTTTAATAAATCATTTGTATTCCTCAAGTCCATGTCTGGAGTTTTCTGGTTTACCAAAATTGTTACTACAATAGTTGTCTAGGAGGTTTCAAATGCTTGTAGGTGGTAGAGCTGCCCATTCATCTTGGCAAAATTTCTCCAGGTTATGCAAAGTCTTTTGGTCATCTTGCAAGAACCGCACGTTGGATATCTACCCAGAATGGCTCAATGATATTCAGGTCAGGAGGCTGTGATGGTCACTCCACAACCTTCACCTTTTTCTGCTGTAATCACTGAAGGGTCAACTTGGCCTTGCGCTTAGGGTCATTGTTGTGCTGAAAAGTCCAAGAGTGTCCCATGCAAAGCTTTTGTGCAGAAGAATGCAACTTGGCTGCCAGTATTTTCTGATAACATGCTGCATTTACCTTGCCTTTAGAGCTTACACCCCCCAAAACACCAGTGAGACACCACCTAGCTTCACAGTGGGGATGGTATTGTTGCTATAGACCTTGTTGACCCCTCTTCAAACATACTGCTTATGGCTGTGATCATAAAGCTATATTTTGGTCTCGTCACTCCAGATTACAGTGTGCCAGAAGCTGTGGGGTGTGTCAAGGTGTTGTCGTGCATATTGTAACAGGACTTTTTTGTGGCAACTCGAATATGCAGCTCATTTTTGTTCAAGTATTGTGCTCTTTGAAACAACCACACTGTTTTTTTCCAGAGCAGCCTGTATTTTTTCTGAGGTTAACTGTGGGTTTTTCTTTGTATTCCAGAAAAAAATTTCTGGCAGTTGTGGCTGCAATCTTTCTTGGTCTACCTGACTTTGGCTAGGTATCAAGAGATCCCCGAATTTTCAACTTCCTAATAAGTGATTGAACAGTACTGACTGGCATATTCAAGGCTTTGCATATCTTTTTATATCCTTTTCCATCTTTATAAAGTTCTATTACCTTGCTATGCAGGTGTTTTGTCAGTTCTTTTCTGCTCCCCGTGGCTCAATATCTAGCCTGCTCAGTGCATCCACGTGAGAGCTAACAAACTCATTGACTATTTATACACTGACACTAATTGTAACTTAAAAAGCTACAGATGTGGGAAATTGACCTTAAATTGCCATTTTAACCCGTGTGTGTCAACTTGTGTGTCTGTACCAAGGCCAAACATTCAAGGGGATGGAAACTTTTGATCCGGGCCATTTGAGTGACTTTAAAAGTAGCCAAACAACTATGTGATAATTATTGTATTATAATTAATAGTCACATTTTCAATATCAATGCCAAAATTTCGCTATTTCTGCCAGGGTACGCAATTTGTACAGCTGTAAATGAATATTAGTCAATTTTGAAAATATGAAATTTAAAGCCCGACTCCAGACAAAGCTTTTTATTTAGTTTTGGACAGAGCAGGGAAGAGTTAAAGCCTCTTTCAGGTGTTATTAACATCTGTTTTCCTATTGATGAGATTTACAACTCATTTCTTGCCAGAACAGGAAAGTATTGGAAATTTCTCCCCTGGAGAAACAAGATCAAAACACATTTTTAGTAGAGTGGATAAAGGTTGGAGCTTCTGGCAATAGTCTCATTGCTGTCTGTGCCTTTCTCTCCTGGTACAAACCACTTCTATTTTGTGCCCTAATGTCAAAGGAACAGGAAGTGAGGGAAATCTCTCCAACAAGGGTCAAAGACAAAAAAAACTGACAAGCCTTCCCTACGTTGTTCAAAACGTTAAAAATATCGTCCAGAGTTAGACCTTGCTCACATGGGTGTACTTAAAGCGGAGCTCCATCCAGCTGCCTGGAGATCATTGACAAGATCCTCAAGCGTAGTTCTGAGATGATTCCTCACTGGTCTCATGATCATTGACACTCCACGAGGTGAGATCTTGCATGGTGCACCAGACCTAGGGAGACTGACACTTGTTTTGTGTTTTTTCCATTTGATTGCACCAACTGTTGTCACCTTCTCACCAAGCTGCTTGGCGATAGTTTGGTAGCCCAGTCCAGCCTTGTGTAGGTCTACCATCTTGTCCCTGACCTCCTTGGACAGCTCTTTGGTCTTTTCCATGGTGGAGAGTTTGGAATCTGATGGTTTGATTGCTCCTGTGGACAGGTGTCTTTTATACAGGTAACACAATGAGATTAGCAGCACTCCCTTTAAGAGACTGCTTCTAATCTCAGCTTGTTACCTGTATGAAAGACACCTGGGAGCCAGAAATCCTGCTGAATGATAGGGGATCAAATCCTTCTTTCCCTCATGAACATGCAGATCAGTCATCATTTGTTACCAGGGGCGGACTGACCATTTGGAAACTCGGGCGCTGCCCGAGGGTCCGGGGTCAGTAGGGGGCCCCATGAGATGCCCCTGGTACCTTTTTCATAGGCTTTTTTGAGTTTGGCAAGGACACAGGGGCCCCATGATCCCCTATTGCCCGGGGGCCCCATGAGTTGTCAGTCCGCCCCGTTTGTTACACATGCATTTCTGCTGAATTTGTTGTTGCTATTCTGTCTCTCAGGGTTACAATACACCGAACATTCGATTTTAGACCGATCATTTCTTTGTGAGTGGGCGAACATTCAAAATCAGCAGGGGAGCAAATACGCATTTCCTTCACTGTACATCAAAACTGATGTCAAACTGGGAGCAAAGGCTGTGTCTGTGTGGCCACTGCATCCCAAGTGACATGCATGGGACTGTCTGCATGGGAATACACAGAACACCTGCAGGTAAAAACAGCCCTCACATGGGCAAATGCTTAGGTACTCCCACGTGCAGAAGGCCTTAGGCTTTACTTTCTGATTGTATCTAAAAATGAAAGGCAGTATAACGCCAGAAATCAATAGTGATTATATGGGATGACAGTAACAAAAATTTGATTTCAACTGACTTTTCTACAGAGGAATGTACAGGTTTTTGCTGACATGATGAAGAAAATCTCAGAATGAACAGGCTCCAGCTCTCTGCCACTCTCTGTGGGAAATCACATACAAAATGTTGACTATAAATTCTGTAATTAACCACTTCAGCTCTCATATTTGTATACCCCTTGGACCAGAGCAATTTGTACATTTCCACTATGGACCTGTTCATTCAGCAATAACTTTATTACTTAAGATACCAAAGACAGATCCCTTTCATACAACATTTCCGATCAGGTCCACCTGTCAGTTTTTCAGGCAAACCTGATCAAAAGTATGTTTTTGGGCAAGTGGATATAAACAGACATGCGGCTGCCGATATCCACTTACCTCGGAGTCTGTGCAGGTCTGTAATAAAAATTCGGAAAAGGTCCTTTTCTGTTTTTTTTTCCTGTCCTAAACATGACAGATTGAAAGTAGTTTGATGTAAACAGATACAAGCCGCTTTACATCCAACGGCCAATAGATCTACAGTGCAATGGGTCTGGAAAGCCCTGGTTTCCAAATGGTGCTTAAAGTGTTACTAAATCCTGGACCCTGCATTCACTATATTTGGTCTCCCCGGACCCTGCATTCAATATATCCGCTCTCCCCGGACCCTGCATTCAATATATCCGCTCTCCCCGGACCCTGCATTCACTATATCCGCTCTCCCCGGACCCTGCATTCACTATATCCGCTATCCCCGGACCCTGCATTCACTATATCTGGTCTCTCCCCTCGGACCCCGCATTCACTATATCCGCTCTCCCCAGACCCTGCATTCACTATATCCACTCTCCCAGATCCTGCATTCACTATATCCGCTCTCCCCAGACCCTGCATTCACTATATCCGCTCTCCCCGGACCCCGCATTCACTATATCCGCTATCCCCGGACCCCGCATTCACTATATCCGCTCTCCCCGGACCCCGCATTCACTATATCCGCTCTCCCCGGACCCCGCATTCACTATATCCGCTCTCCCCGGACCCCGCATTCACCATATCTGCTCTCCCCAGACCCTGCATTCACCATATCTGATCTCCCCGGAACCCGCATTCACTATATCTGGTCTCCCTGGACTCTGCATTCACTAAATCCGGTCTCCCCGGACCCCGCATTCACTACATCCCCTCTCCCCGGACCCCGCATTCACTATATCCGCTCTCCCCGGACCCCGCATTCACTATATCCGCTCTCCCCGGACCCCGCATTCACTATATCCACTCTCCCCGGACCCTGCATTCACTATATCCGCTCTCCCCGGACCCCGCATTCACTATATATCCGCTCTCCCCATACCCTGCATTCACTATATCCGCTCTCCCCGGACCCCGCATTCACTATATCCGCTCTCCCCGAACTCCGCATTCCCGGACCCCGCGCATTCACTATATCTGGTCTCCCCGAACCCTGAATTTACCATATCTAGTCTCCCAGGACCCTGCATTCACTATACCCATTCTCCCCGGACCCTGCATTCACTATCTGGTCTCCCCGAACCCTGCATTCACTATATCTGGTCTCCCTGGACCCTGCATTCACTATAACCGCTCTCCCCGGACCCTGCATTCACTATATCCGCTCTCCCCGGACCGTGAATTCAGTATATCCGCTCTCCCCGAACCCTGCATTCACTATATCCGTCTCCCAGATCCTGCATTCACTATATCCGCTCTCCCGGACCCTGCATTCACTATATCTGATCTCCCCAGACCCTGCATTCACTATATCTGGTCTCCCCAGACCCGCATTCACTATATCTCGTTTCCCCAGACCCCGCATTCACTATATCCGCTCTCCCTGGACCCTGCATTCACTATATCTGGTCTCCCTGGACCCTGCATTCACTATATCTGCTCTCCCTGGACCCTGCATTCACTATATCTGGTCTCCCTGGACCCTGCATTCACTATATCTGGTCTCCCTGGACCCTGCATTCACTATATCTGCTCTCCCCGGACCCTGCATTCACTATATCTGCTCTCCCCGGACTCTGCATTCACTATATCTGCTCTCCCCGGACCCTGCATTCACTATACCCGCTCTCCCTGGACCCCGCATTCACTATATCCTCTCTCCCCGGACCCTGCAGTCACTATATCCGCTCTCCCCGGACCCCGCATTCCCTATATCCGCTCTCCCTGGACCCTGCATTCACTATATCTGGTCTCCCACAGCGCAGAGAACAAAGAAGTGCAATTATTGTAGCAAAAAATAAACTGCTAAATACCTTTTCTCATCAGCAGTATATAGCAGTCTTGTGACTTCTATCAGTTTTCAGCAGAGCACTGTTTAAAGCTTACAGGAGTTTTAATTCTGCTCTAGGAAGATGCAGGACCCCCTGACCTATGTCTAGACAGTGCTGGTTGGCCTTGTGCTGATCACATGCACTCTCCCAAGAAAAAAAAAACCTCTCTAGCAATACACACCAAACTGAGTATGTGCAGAGTGACTCCACACGATATGTCTTATCAGGAGAAAAGAGGGGGACACTGGAAGAAGGGGAGGATCAGAGAAGACAGAATCAAACAGCATTTTTACACAATGCAGAGGATTACCCCTTCGGTTTCCACAGTGAGTAGAACAAGCATGCCTTACTGCATCTACAGACTGATTGTACTGTTGTGGGTTTAGGAACACTTTAAGACTGAACAGAAACAAAAGTCACAAAAGTGATATTCTGCTCTCAATCAGCAGGGGATCTGTTCATGGATTCCCTGCTGAACAGGTTGGATGGTTCCCATGTAAAAGGAGCTAAATACATACTTAGTTTTTAGGGAAAAGCTAGGCATTATTATGGCAATATTTCCTTGAAAAATGAATTTAATGTTCTAAAGAAATCCATAGACATTTTTTCTATTTTCATCCATGTTAGTTTTTTTTAAATAGCATTTTTTACTGTAAATTTAAAGTATACATTCTATTCTAGAGATTATCCCATTTAAAGTGTCACTAACGTTACACTTCTGGTACAAAAACATGGAAAAGTTATTTGCAAATGAAAACAAAAAGGATTTTTTCAACCTAAAGTATTTTTCTTTTTATGAGACACAGAAAAAAAATCACAAAGTAAATGAAAAGGAAAAAAAATATACATAGTAAAAGACAAAAAATCAGCAGAAAAATAATAGTTATGGGGAGAAAATGAGAAAGGCATTAATCAGGGCTGATTGGTGTTAACTAAAGGGGTTATATAGGAATACTATTTTAATTTAATTTTGTTACTTTCTTGAATTTATATCATTTACAGATGACAGAACAATACATTGTTACATTGTATTTACTCAGTGACACTTGTAGACTGTCTGCAAGTGTCAGCTTACACAGTAACGGATACATTTTGACAGCCATGACTGCTGTATGTAGTATATTGTGTGCAATATATATGTATATGTATTGAAGACATTGAAACACATACTGTTCATTTTTGGATAGGCCAGTGATAAGACCACTTTACACACCAAAAGGACACCTTACTATGTTAATGTATGCAGGAGGTAATTACCTTACCTTTGTTGTGTTGGGTTAACCTGTTTTTGGGTAAATATATGGAGAGTCAGGGGAGGTTTCTAGATCTAGACACATAAGATCAAACATGCTACTAAAAGTGGCCAATCAGAGTGCTTGCCGTTGTACTGAATGGGGAAAATGTGTATATTAACACAGGACACAGAACACAGGAGAGAATATGAAGATAGCAGAGCACAAGTGAGGATACCTGGGCAGAGTATAAGGGAGAATACAAAGATAGCAGAGCATAGGTCAGGATACGTGGGACAGAACACAGGTTGCATGGAAGCTACCTAGTTGCATATAATAGATTGGACATATGCTGGATGGTGTAGTACAGGGGTGTCCAAACTTTTTTCAAAGAGGGCCAGATTGGATGAAGTGAACATGGTGGAGGGCCGAACATTTTTCCGAACATTCTTTGAACCATTACAATTAAATACAAATAAATTACTTTATGCCGAGTTAATTGCAAACGACATACTTTTCATTTCATAACATTAAGATCAACTGACAGCTGAGTTTTCACAATGTATTGAAAAAATAAATTTAAAAAAAAACTTACCTGCACTAATGTGAAGGGTGAAAAAGGTAGCTGGAGCTGAAGTCTCTGCTCGGCAGCCGGGAGGGGAAGAGAAACACACTTCACGCTGGAAGCCCGACCCTGACGTCACCCACGCCCTCTGTCGCTCCCAGCGCGGCGCAGTCACGCATGCGCACTGCTCTCAAGCAGAAGACTGTCTGCCACAGAAGGGAGGGCCGTGCGACAGCCGCATTTACACAGACCAGGGATAACGCGCCGCAGTCAGGCATGCGCACTGCCCTCTGCTCTCAAGCAGAAGACTGTCTGCCATAGAAGGGAGGGCCGTGGGAGGGCCACATTACACAGAGCAGGGAGGGCTGTTGGAGGGCCGTATTAAACCGACCCCCAGGCCGTAAATGGCCCGCGGGCCGGACTTTGGACATGCCTGGTGTAGTATCTCTATGCTTGATATGAAGTATCTTAAAAGGGACTTTGAGAGCTGTTGTTCGTTGTAATCTTTACAAATATTCAACTGAATTTCTGTCATCTGTAACAAATATCTTTATCTGAATAAATGCATCTCTCTGGAAAAGGACTATTGGTTGCTGCGGGAATAGTACATACATAAATACACCCTGGTCATCTGGAGAAGGGCTGGATCTCCATGTTTGATGTGAAGTATCTTTTAATATTTACAACACTGTACAATCCAAAGGAATACATAGATGTCATTTTGACAGCTGGTAGGTACGGTCAGGGGGAGCAGTGGCAGGGAGAGAGGATCGAATGTAAGGCTCCATGTACACAGGAAAACACTTCTGAACGATGGAAACTGACTACTGCAAAACGTAGGTTAAAAACGTCTGTTTAGCCGCGTTTGCATACATTTACACACGTTTATGCTTGTTTGCATTTAGAAGCATTTTTTTAAGATAACCTCAGGAGACTTTCCAAAATGCCCAGAATGCACTAAAAAACAGTAAAACAAATAACTATTTCAGACAATTTTGAGAGAAATAGAGAGAGCAGAAGCAGAGAGAGCAGTATGTGTGGAGATGACCGGTCTTTTCTAGTTGTATTCACTATGGATCCCATCATGAGGATAATGCGGCGCGTTCTACCATTTATTCCTTCACGCAAAACCTGGAACTGACTGCGCTGGTGTACCGGGTCCATTTGAATACATGGAAAAAGCTTTGCATACATTTCTGATGATGAAAAAAGGCTCCGGACAGCATCTGGATATGGAACAGTTAAGAAAACGCTTCTAAACGCAAATGCTTATAAATGCAGTTAGCCGCGTTTACACACGTTTGAAACACTGATGAAATCTACTCCTGAACGCAGGTTTGGTGCGTTCTAAAAAACAACTGTAAACTCAACTGCCTGCTAACGACTGTAATGGACGATGTGTACACGGACACAGAGGAAAACATTAGGGAGAGTTCAGGGGCTGCTGAAAAAAAACGCAGAAAACTCCTGAACATCAGTTTATCAGCTGCAGTGTACATGAGCCCTAAGAGATGTATCCTAAAAACTTGCTTTAAGTTTTTAGGATACATTTAGTATGTTCAAAATCCTCAAGTTGTTAACAGTTAAATACAAATGCAACAAATATGTTGGTTACTTCGCTAGTTAATAGAGCACATTCAGCGCAGAGTATCATGACCAATGCAGTTGATTTTAAATCCTCATGCATAGTGGACATTTTTACAGCGGCTGTTTTTGGCTTTTGACATTTTTTTCTACAGCCAGTAAACCCCCCGGCATGTTATCCTGTGTGTCCATCCCCGGCATGTTATCCTACGTGTCCATCCCCGGCATGTTATCCTACGTGTCCATCCCCGGCATGTTATCCTATGTGTCCATCCCCCGGCATGTTATCCTACGTGTCCATCCCCGGCATGTTATCCTACGTGTCCATCCCCGGCGTGTTATCCTACGTGTCCATCCCCGGCGTGTTATCCTACGTGTCCATCCCCGGCATGTTATCCTATGTGTCCATCCCCGGCATGTATCCTATGTGTCCATCCCCAGCATGTTATCCTATGTGTCCATCCCCAGCATGTGATCCTATGTGTCCATCCCGGCATGTTATCCTACGTGTCCATCCCCGGCATGTTATCCTACGTGTCCATCCCCGGCATGTTATCCTACGTGTCCATCCCCGGCATGTGATCCTATGTGTCCATCCCCGGCATGTGATCCTATGTGTCCATCCCCCCATGCATGTATCCTATGTGTCCATCCCCAGCATGAAAAACGTATGTTATCCTACGTGTCCTTAAAAAACCAACTTCCCCGGCATTTTATCCTACGTGTCCATCCCCGGCATGTTATCCTACGCAAAAACGTGCATGTTATCCTACGTGTCCATCCCCGGCATGTTATCCTACGTGTCCATCCCCGGCATGTTATCCTACGTGTCCATCCCCGGCATGTTATCCTACGTGTCCATCCCCGGCAAAACGTGTCCATCCCCAGCATGTTATCCTACGTGTCCATCCCCGGCGTGTTATCCTATGTGTCCATCCCCGGCAATCCTATGTGTCCATCCCCGGCATGTTATCCTATGTGTCCATCCCCAGCATGTGATCCTATGTGTCCATCCCCGGCGTGTTATCCTATGTGTTCATCCCCGGCATGTTATCCTATGTGTCCATCCCCAGCATGTGATCCTATGTGTCCATCCCCAGCATGTGATCCTATGTGTCCATCCCCAGCATGTGATCCTATGTGTCCATCCCCAGCATGTGATCCTATGTGTCCATCCCCAGCATGAAAAATCGTAGTGTCCCACCGCCAACCGGCGTTTTTTTTGAGTAAAAAAAATTTGGTGGGTTAAAAAACGCAAACGTGGGAAATCGCTAATCCCCGGGCCACTAAATGTGCTAATGCAAAAAATGTGTAAAAAAAGCTGAAAAACTCAAGTTTTTTAATGTTACTTTACACAGCTAACATTACCGACGTGTCAAAACGCCCCCCTCCCCCCCAGTGTGCGTGTTATCCTACGTGTCCATCCCCAGCATGTTATCCTATGTGTCCATCCCCGGCATGTTATCCTATGTGTCCATCCCCGGCATGTTATCCTACGTGTCCATCCCCGGCATGTTATCCTACGTGTCCATCCCCGGCGTATTATCCTACGTGTCCATCCCCGGCGTGTTATCCTATGTGTCCATCCCCGGCATGTTATCCTATGTGTCCATCCCCGGCATGTTATCCTATGTGTCCATCCCCGGCATGTTATCCTATGTGTCCATCCCCGGCGTGTTATCCTGTGTGTCCATCCCCAGCATGTTATCCTATGTGTCCATCCCCAGCATGTTATCCTATGTGTCCATCCCCGGCATGTTATCCTATGTGTCCATCCCCGGCGTGTTATCCTATGTGTCCATCCCCAGCATGTGATCCTATGTGTCCATCCCCAGCATGTGATCCTATGTGTCCATCCCCAGCATGTGATCCTATGTGTCCATCCCCGGCGTGTTATCCTATGTGTCCATCCCCAGCATGTGATCCTATGTGTCCATCCCCAGCATGTGATCCTATGTGTCCATCCCCAGCATGTTATCCTATGTAATAAAATGAATAAATGGTGTAGCAGTAAAAAACCATCAACATAGAATGTGAAAGTATAAATAAGCTTAAATATACATAAATGAAAAAATAAGTGAGATCCTCCAGGGATCAAGAGCATATTGACATGTGTCACAAATTGTGATAATAGTGAATACATCAACTAGGTCCCAAATTTGGACCCAAATATAATCATGTGAATAACACCCAATCCCAAATGGGATGCTCACGCACAAATAAAGTGACTTGCAAAGTGAATCCCAAAAAACGGGATAATCCTAAATATCAAAGTGGCAAGTGCTGAAATCCCCAAAGAAACACAAAGACATAAATTAATGTGTCATAAATGCAGTAACATAAAAGACAATTTAAAATACAAATTCAGTGACCGAAGAATATTAAATAAATAAATGTTATCCTATGTGTCCATGCACAGATAGACTGTAAGTACCATTTTTTGGCTGGCCCGTTTTTTGGCTAGAAGAAAACCCCGGGACTAGTGGGCTTCTAGAGGAGTTTTTTAGCTGTAAAAATTCTCTAACACTGAAAAACGTAGTAAAACACCGCCAACCGGCGTTTTTTTGAGTAAAAAAAATTTGGTGGGTTAAAAACGCAAACGTGGGAAATCGGCGCTAATTGCGGCAAAAGGCCGCTAAATGCTAATGCAAAAATGCTAAAAAAGCTGAAAAACTCAAGTTTTTAATGTGACTTTACACAGCTAACATTACCGACGTTGTCAAAACGCCCCCCCCCAGTGTGCGTGGAGCCTGAATAGATGAATGGTAAGGCATCCAAAAGGCCCTTTATTACATCAACGCTGCGTGGAGAATCATAGGTAACATTGGAACCTTAGACACATCTCCTCGGTTCACTACAATGTATAAAGCAAGCAGTTTGGTGCTGCAAGGAGGAGTACCACTGTAACCATTTCAATACCGGCAATTTTACACCTTCCTGCCCAGGCCAGTTTTCAGGTTTCAGCGCTCTCACATTTTGAATGACAATTGCGCGGTCATACAACATTGTACCCAAACTAAAATTTTATAATTTTCTTCACACAACTAGAGCTTTCTTTTGGTGGTATTTAATCACCGCCGGGGTTTTTATTTTTTGCTAAATTATCAAAAAAAGACCGAACATTTTGAAAAATAACACGTTTTTCTTTGATTCTGTTATAAAAGTTTGCAAATAAATAATTGTTCTTCATAAATTTAGGTATAGATCTGATTATTGATCAATCCTGAAGTACTGACGGCCAATCTAATTTCTTGAGGTCCAAGAATGTCAGAACAGTACAGATATCCCCCCAAATGTCAGGACGGTACAGATATCCCTCAAATGTCAGGACAGTACAGATATCCCCCAAATGTCAGGACAGTACAGATATCCCCCAAATGTCAGGACAGTACAGATATCCCCCAAATGTCAGGACAGGACAGTTATCCCCCAAATGTCAGAACAGTACAGATATCCCCCAAATGTCAGGACAGTACAGATATCCCCCAAATGTCAGAACAGTACAGATATCCCCCAAATGTCAGGACAGTACAGATATCCCCCAAATGTCAGAACAGTACAGATATCCCCCAAATGTCAGGACAGTACAGATATCCCCCAAATGTCAGAACAGTACAGATATCCCACAAATGTCAGGACAGTACAAATATCCCCCAAATGTCAGAACAGGACAGATATCCCCCAAATGTCAGGACGGTACAGATATCCCCCAAATGTCAGGACAGTACAGATATCCCCCAAATGTCAGGACGGTACAGATATCCCCCAAATGTCAGGACAGTACAGATATCCCCCAAATGACCCCTTTTTGCAGAGTAGACAGTCCGACGTACTTCATAAGAGGCATGGCGAGTTTTTTGAAGTTGTATTTTTTTGTCATAATTTTTCGGAAAATTAAAAAATTTAAATAATTATTTTCACTATTTTTTTTTTACATACTGTCACCAGTGCAGTACAGCGTCATCATATAACTGGCATGGCGGTGATCAGGGACACTGACTGGTGACAGTATGAAAAAAAAAAAAATATTTTTTTTTTTATTATTTTTAATTTTTTATTACATTCATTTTCTTTTATTTAAGATTTTTTTTTCATATTTCACTATGTCCAAAGTAGTACAATGTTAACATAGTAACATTGTACTACTTTGGGGAAGTGATCAGGATTTTTTTTTTTTTTTTTTTTTTACACAATTTGCTTATAGCAAAGAATTACTTTGCTATAAGGAAGCATTTACCTGAATGACATCGATTCATTCAGGGATTTTTTTTTTTTTGTGCTTAGCTGTGATTTGGCCACAGCTAATCACATGACATGTTCATGTGATTAGCTGTGACTAATCACAGCTAGATACTAGTATACAATGGATGGCATGAATGAAGCCATCCATTGTATACTACTGTCATGTGACCTGCTGTGATTGGTCACAGCAGGTCACATGGTACCGGCAACAGGGGCCGATACTCAGATCTGTCATCGGCCGCGTCCGAGGTACACGGCCGGTGACAGATCGCGGCTCTGTAGGAGCGCAAACTGCGCATGTGTGGGAGGAGGCCATTTGGCGTCCAACCCGGAAATGCAGTACATTTTGCCGGCCGCCTTTTGGCTATTGGCCGGGCGTTGTATTGGTTAAAATAGCAATCAAAAAGGTTCCAATATGAGAATGTTTAAAAAAAAAAAAAAAAGCTTTTATTAACTTTTCTGTCTGCGCTTTCAAGCTAAAGAAACACAAGCCATCAATTATTTCATTCTACCTGAAGGTGGATGCGGAGAGCACGCAGCAACTTGACAAATAGACCAATTTGAGGCACCAAAACTAAAGTTAACTCATCTCAGCTCTGATACATCCTGAAGAGACTGGTGGCTTGGTACTTTAACCACTTCCAGTCCGGACACTTTCACCCCCTTCCTGTCCGGACACTTTCCTCCCCTTCCAGTCCAGACACTTTCCCCCCTTCCAGTCCGGACACTTTCACCCCCTTCCAGTCCGGACACTTTCCCCCCTTCCAGTCCGGACACGTTCCCCTCTTCCAGTCCGGACACTTTCCCCCCTTCCAGTCCGGACACTTTCACCCCCTTCCTGTCCGGACACTTTCACCCCTTCCTGTCCGGACACTTTCACCCCCTTCCAGTCCAGACACTTTCCCCCCTTCCAGTCCGGACACTTTCACCCCCTTCCAGTCCAGACCCTTTCCCCCCCTTCCAGTCCGGACACTTTCACCCCCTTCCAGTCCAGACCCTTTCCCCCCCTTCCAGTCCAGACACTTTCACCCCCTTCCAGTCCAGACACTTTCCCCCCTTCCAGTCCGGACACTTTCACCCCCTTCCAGTCCGGACACTTTCCCCCCCTTCCAGTCCGGACACTTTCCCCCCTTCCAGTCCGGACACTTTCACCCCCTTCCAGTCCGGACACTTTCACCCCCTTCCAGTCCGGACACTTTCCCCCCCCCTTCCTGTCCGGACACTTTCCCCCCCTTCCAGTCCGGACACTTTCACCCCCTTCCAGTCCGGACACTTTACCCCCCTTCCTGTCCGGACACTTTCCCCCCTTCGAGTCTGAACACTTTCCCCTCCTTCCAGTCCGGACACTTTCACCCCCTTCCAGTCCAGGCCAATTTTCAGCTTTCAGCGCTATCATACTTTGAATGACAATTGCGCGGTAATGCAACACTGTACCCATATGAATTTTTTAGCATTTTTTTTAGACAGATAAAACTTTATTTTGGTGGTATTTATTCACCACTGAGATTTTTATTTTTAAAAAATTTTAACAGTACAGTGACACTGTGCTACTTCTGGGGGGTGATGAAGATTTTTTTTTTTTACACATAAAGGCTGTAAAAGCAATCATTTCTCCTTCTCTCTGGCTGCATTCTTTCAGCCACTGAGAAATACTGTGTGAGCTGTGATTGGTCACAGCTTGTCACATGGTACAAGGCTGTTGTGAATAGCCCTGTACCATGTGACCTCTGTGATCATTCACAGATTTCACACGTAATAAGCAATGATGTCAGAAGTGACATCTTGCTTACTACCCAGCATGTGATCACTGATTGGCCAATCAGTGATCACATGATCGGGACCTCACACAGAGGTTCTGTACAATGATCAGTGTTCCGCTGTTTCCGGAGGACACAGCGGGCACCGGATCGCGGTGCTGCACGCTCCCTGACAGCACACTGCAAACAAGGACCCTAATGCCGGCCATACATGGGTTTGAAATTTGACCGATTTTTCATCCAAAAATCGGACTTAAGAATAATCTGCCGATTTTTCACTTTGTTAGTGGGTTAATGGTAGTTTCGTGGTTCCTCCCCTTTTCGGTGATCGGGCATGTTGGAAAATTCATGAAAAATGACCGATTTTCAACTCCATGATGGTCAAATCGTACAACTGTTTTTCCGAAAAGAATATGCGCATGAGCCGAGACCTGGAAGGAAAAGAAGTTTCCTCTGTACGTAATAGTTTTTGTAATCTTCAGGATTGTTTTCTTTCACAGCCATACAAAGCAGTGTGCACTAGCTGACAGGGAGGAGAACTGTTTTGACTACAAACAGTTCTCCTCCCTATCGGAGATGCTCGGCAATCACCGGGTGCCAGCGAGTAATCACCGGCCGGATACGTGATTTTGCGCACCCGTGCTGCCCTGTAGCAGTATTTCAGGAAGCGGTTAAAGGAAGTTGTAATACAACAGTCTTACTGGCTTTTCACCAAGTGAAAAAAAAAAAGAAAAAACAGTTATAGAGGAAAATAATGCAGCTATCATATCTAAGAATTTGTAAGCTGCAGTATATTAAAGCACAACTAAACCTTCCTATTCTTTACAGCCAAGGAAGCTGCCATCTGAGCCTCTGTTTGATCTGTAGTTGCCATGGTGCTGCACGTGATCAGTTATGATACAACCATTTGAATGCATGACAGTTTGGTTGAGAGCAGAAGCAACTGTGACAGTTATCATTTCCAGCATGCCTTGAATTTAACTTTTTTGGGAAACAGTTAAATTGATGGGTTTATTTCCACTTTAAATTTTGTTTTTGGATTTTAAGAATATGCAACCCCAACATTTCATTTTGTTTGTTGTATTGTGCAATTCTGTTAAAATGTCTCCTGTTCTCTTTGTATTGCTACCTTTGGGTGAAATCCCTGATGTTCCTGACAGTCCTCCTGCTTTACTATTTCAAACTGACCACGCCGAAACGTGAAAGCATTTCCATCCCAGCGTGGTCAGTTTTCTGGCTGTGCTGTGAAAACAACCTGCCTGACCTCCAATGGCCAAGACTCGTGCTAACACACCCACTAAGAAGATCAGTGTACTGCTGATTCTCCAGCCTTAGCTTGTGCCTTATGCAGCTGAGAACAGTGGTCATTTGATCATGTATAAAATCATATATATATATATATATATATATATATATACTCACCGGCCACTTTATTAGGTACACCTTCCTACTGCCAAGAAAATATCCCCCCACACCAATACATCACCACCAGCAGCCTGAACTGTTGATACAAGGCAGGATGGATCCATGCTTTCATGTTGTTTACACCAAATTCTGATCCTAACCATCTGAATGTCACAGCTGAACCAGTCTGTCAATTCTTCTCTGACATCAACACACTCACTGGATATTTTCTCTTTTTCGGGCCATTCTCTGTAAACTTTACAGAGATGGTTGTGCATGAAAATCCCAGTAGATCAGCAGTTTTTGAAATACTCAGACCAGCTCGTCTGGCACCAACAACCATGCCACGTTCAAAGTCACTTAAAACCCCTTTCCTCCCCATTCTGATGCTCGGTTTGAACTTCAGCAAGTCATCTTCACCACGTCTAGATGGCTAATTGCATTGAGTTGCTGCCATGTGATTGGCTGATTAGCCATTTGTGTTACCAAGCAATTGAACAGGTGTACCTAATAAAGTGGCCAGTGAGTATACAGTTAGGTCCATATATATTTGGACACAGGCACAATTATAGTTTTTTTTCAGATATTTACCAAAACATATTGAAGCTATAGTTATATAATGGATATGGTCTGAAAGTGCACACTCTCAGGTGTAATTTGAGGGTATGTACATCCAAATGGGAGGAAGGATTTAGGAATTACAACTCTTAAGAGTAGCCAACCCCCCTTTTCAAGGGACCAAAAGTAATTGGACAATTACATCAAAAGCTGTTTCATGGCCAGGTGTGGGTTACTCCTTCGTTATTTCTTCATCAATTAAGCAGGTAAAAGGTCTGGAGTTGATTCTAAGTGTGGGATTTGCATTTGGAATCTATTGCTGTGAACCTCCATCATGCGTTCAAAGGAGCTGTCCATGCAAGTGAAAGGATTCAAAAATGAAACAAATCCATCAGAGAGATCGCAGCAACATTAGGAGGCCAAATCATCAGTTTGGTCCATTCTGAGGAAAGAAGAACGCAATGGTGAGCTCAGCAACATAAAAAGGCATGGACGTCCATGGAAGACAACAGTGGTGGATGATCACAGGATCCTCTCTATGGTAAAGTAAAACCCATTCACAACATCCAGACAAGTGAAGGACACTCTCCAGGAGGTGGGCGAATCATTGTCAAAGTCTACAATCAAGAGAAGACTTCACGAGAGCAAATACAAAGGGTTCACCAAAAGGTGCAAAACATTCATAAGCCTGAATAATAGAAAAGCCAGGTTAGACTTTGCCAAAAAAATTCTACAAAAGCCAGACCAGTTCTGGAGAAGCATTCTTTGGACGGATGAAACTAAGATTAATCTGTACCAGAATGATGGAAAGAAAAAAGTGTGGAGAAGGCTTGGAACAGCTCATGATCCAAAGCACACAACGTCATCTGTAAAACATGGTGGAGGCAGTGTGATGGCATGGGTGGAGGCAGTGTGAGGGCATGGGTGAAGGCGGTGTGATGGCATGGGTGGAGGCAGTGTGAGGGCATGGGTGAAGGCGGTGTGATGGCATGGGTGGAGGCAGTGTGATGGCATGGGTGAAGGCGGTGTGATGGCATGGGTGGAGGCAGTGTGAGGGCATGGGTGAAGGCGGTGTGATGGCATGGGTGGAGGCAGTGTGAGGGTATGGGTGAAGGCGGTGTGATGGCATGGGTGGAGGCAGTGTGATGGCATGGGTGAAGGCGGTGTGATGGCATTAGTGGAGGCAGTGTGAGGGCATGGGTGAAGGCGGTGTGATGGCATGGGTCGAGGCAGTGTGATGGCATGGGTAAAGGCGGTGTGATGGCATGGGTGGAGGAAGTGTGATGGCATGGGCATGCATGGCTTCCAGTGGCACTGGGTCATTTGTGTTTATTGATGCTGTAACAGAAGACAGAAGCAGCCAGATGAATTCTGCCGTGTTTACAGATATACTGTCAGCCCAGATACAGCCAAATACAGAAAAGTTGATTGGACAGTGCTTCACAGTACAGATGGACAATGATCCAAAACACACTGCAAAAGCAACCCGGGAGCTTTTGAAGGAAAAGAAGTGGAACATTCTGCAATGGCTGAGTCAATCACCTGATCTCAACTCCATTGAGCATGCATTTCACTTACTGAAGGCAAAACTAAAGGCAGAAAGACCCACAAAGAACAACTGAAGACAGCTGCAGTTAGAGCCTGGCAAAGCATCAGAAAGGAGGAAACCCAGTCTTTGGTAATGTGCATGGGTTACAGACTTCAGACAAAGCATCAGAAAGAAGGAAACCCAGTCTTTGGTCATGCCCATGAGTTCCAGATTTCAGGCAAAGCATCAAAAAGAAGGAACCCCAGTCTTTGGTCATGTCCATGGGTTCCAGACTTCAGGCAAAGCATCAGAAAGGAGGAAACCCAGTCTTTGGTCATGTCCATGTGTTCCAGACTTCAGGCCAAGCATCAGAAAGGAGGAAACCCAGTCTTTGGTCATGTCCATGGGTTCCAGACTTCAGACAAAGCATCAGAAAGAAGAAAACCCAGTCTTTGGTTATGTCCATGAGTTCCAGACTTCAGGCAAAGCATCAGAAAGAAGGAAACCCAGTCTTTGGTCATGTCCATGGGTTCCAGACTTCAGGTCAAGCATCAGAAAGGAGGAAACCCAGTCTTTGGTCATGTCCATGTGTTCCAGACTTCAGGCCAAGCATCAGAAAGGAGGAAACCCAGTCTTTGGTCATGTACATGGGTTCCAGACTTCAGGCAGTCATTGCCAGTAAAGGATTCTCAACAAAATATTACAAATGAACATTTTATTTATGATTAAATTAATTTGTCCAATTACTTTTGGTCCTTTCAAAAAAGGGGATAGCTAGAGCTGTGACTCCTAAACCCTTCCTCCAATTTGGATGTATACACCCTCAAATTAAACCTGAGAGTGTGCACTTTTGCACTTCAGCCCATATCCATTATAGAACTAGAGCTGGAATATGTTATGGTAAATACCTGACAAAAAAAC